GGGACAGATTGTCATGGAGAAAATCTATCCCTGTGGTTGCTTAGGAGTAAAAATACCACTTGATGTCACAAAATCAAGCAAAGGAAATTCAAGGTAAAAAAGGGAATTCAAAAGACAGCTGTAAAAAAAAAAGAAAAAAGGATACCACAGTGTTGATTTTAGGGCCAATTGCAGGTTTAGTAAACATTTTCCCCCCACTTCAAGCCCTCACTTGTGCTGTGTTTCCCCTATGCCATCTATTCCTGCATGGAGGTCAAGGGTGATGAACAGGATTAGTATAGGTAGTCCTCGATTTACAACAGTTCATTTAGTTAGTGACTGTTCAAAGTTACGCCGGCACTGAAAAAAGTGACTTAGGACCATTTTTCACAGTTACAACCTTGGCAGCATCCCTATGGTCATGTGATCAAAATTCAGCTGCTTGGCAACTGGCTCATACTTAGGACTGTTGTTTCATCCCAAGATCTTGTGATCACCTTTTGTGACTTTCTAACCAGTGTTGGGATTCAATTTTTTTTTTACTACCGGTTCTGTGGGTGTGGCTTTGTGGGAGTGGCCATGTGACTGGGTGGGCGTGGCTTTTTTTGCAGCCACCCCCCACCCATTTTCTGGGCCTCAGAGGAGCCTCAGGGGGGGTCATTTTTGCTCCCATAAGGCTTTTCTGAGGCTCAGGAAGGCAAAAAATGGAGGGGGGGCTGAGCCCCTCCCTCCATTTTTTGCGTTCCTGGGCCTCAGCAAGGGGAATCCCAGCACAGCTGATGTATGTACAGCTGATTGTCGGGAGGGGGGGAAAAAGAAATACCTTAGGCGAATGTCAGGCAGGCGGGGTGAAGCGAGCATCGGGCGGGAGGGTGACTGGGTTGGGGGCATGGCCAGCCAGAACTTACTTCCAGTTCAGCGACCCATGCCAAATCGTTGCTACCGGTTCGCCCGATCCAGTGCGAACCAGCTGAATACTACCACTGCTTCTAACAAGCAAATTCAACGGGGAAGCCAGATTCACTTAACAATCCGGTTACTAACTTATCAACTGCAGTGATTCACTTAATGCCTGTGGCAAGAAAGGTCCTAAAACTTACTTAAATGTCTTAAATGTCTCAGTTAGAAACAGAAATTTTGGGCTGAATTGTGGTTGTAAGTCGAGGACTACCTGTAGTTTTTCCAGTTTGTTGTCCTAACTCCTCTTTGCCTAAAGGGAGATTTTATTTATTTGTTACTTCTTACACAACTTCACAACACCATTAAGACAATGAAACATATAAATAAGCCACCCTCCTTCCATTAGTCACAAGGATAAGGGCAATCAAAAATATTTCCTCACTGCTTCTGGTCTTGAAAGAAAACACAGACCTGAGGCCAGCTGTGCATGATAGGAGACTTTGGGGGAGGTAGAGAGTTTAGGACAAGCTCTAAAAAAGCAGCTACATCATGCATTAAAGGCCCTCTTAGTAGATCCCTGCCAAATAGCAACTACCGAAGTTAAACCGATGACTTGCTCAGTCTAGCATCCTTCCAGCAAAACAGACCAAATAAGGAGAGAGAGAGAGAGAGAGAGAGAGAGAGAGAGAGAGAGAGAGAGAGAGAGAGAGAGAGAACACACATATGTATCCCATCCTCTTTCACATCCTGCAATGGCTGGAGCAATCTAAATTGTTTTCTTCTTGTTTCAAAATTTGGTATACAAAGACCACGGATCCTTTTAACTTTTCTTTGTTGACATCAAACAAGCAGCAGTGACTAAAGGAGTGCCCTGGTCCACATTCTTCCAAAATGTGAAAGGAAATCCAGGAGTTGTGCATGTGTGCAGAATGAAGGCTATGAGATTCTTTTCATTCTAGTGCTCAGGACAAACTTGTAGCTCACAAATCTTTCAGCATGAGTGAGTGGTTAGCTAAAAGACTAAGCAGAATCACTGTTTGCTTGATTAAATACACCACAAATGTTGGGTTCACAAAGTATGCTATGCTAAAACCATGCTTAATATAAAGGCAGGCAATCTCAGGCACTCCTTTAGTCATTGGTGTTGGTACGGTGTTAAATGTTTAAACTATTATCTCCCAGGATCCCTCACCACAGGCCACGCTTTCTAGGGATGCTGGGATTTATAGCA